CCCATCTTGTTTAACTTTTTCAGTTCTCAATCATTTGACATTTTTATATCAAATAAAATCTTGAGAAATAAGCAGCCTGTTTATTTTAAACCACCTATTCTTTCTAGTAGTATCAGAGATTCCCAGGAGTAACTGTGAGCATTTTTGTCTGGCTTCTCTTGACTGTCCAGGAACACATGGTCTGTTTTCACTAAGAAACCCTCTGAGTCCTCAGAGTGACTCTTCCGGTATCATATGCTGTGTGATGCAAGTAAAGAAATGCCACACTAGCTCAAAATAGTGTATATTAAGGTGTTTCTTTGTTAAAAGGGAACTTATGGATCACAGAGAGGAAATAGGAATGGGGTCAAACATCCAGGTGTGGCTGTTGTGATACGAAAGGACAAGGTGTGTTCATTGTAGAGAGCCTGGTCCTAAGGATGAGAGTAATGAAACTTGCCAAGAATTTATTTGATCCTGGGAAGCCTTGAATCCTATTTCTTTTCTCTTTTGTTCAAATATTTGCTTCATCTAGCCAACAGCATTTTCATAGCAGCTGGGGTCCATTTTGTAGGATTGCTGAGATTAACTGAAGCCAGTTGAGTGGGGTGGCCTTATTGCTTGAAGCCCATGTTTTCATCATTTCCCTAACAAATGGTGAATTCAGGCCAAAAGATACTATTGTTTGCTTAATTTCATTTAGATCGCTCATACCTATAGGTTGCCATGTATATTCTTTGACTATTTTAGGTTATTTTGTGCCATATGGCTTCTCAGAGGGTATTACCAGATAGTCAGCTGAAACTCTGGGTAAGTCATCCCAGAGCTGGCATGTACTGATGAGGCTAAATCCTGTCCTTGTACCTTCTCACACAGATGATCAGATTCAATAATTTCCTTAATCTTTTCAAACATTTTTATGACTACCTTTTGTAAAGTCTGAATCTCCTCTCCAGTGTTCTGTTCTAATGCCCTCACTGATTATTCCAAGGTATGTAATTTGTTCAGTAAAAATGTCTCATTCTTGGACATAATTTTGATGCTGTGCATATTGTCTTCCTAGAGAGATACCTTATCTGTTAACCTGTCATAACTTTTCAAAAGATTCTGATTGTTAAATTTAACACATGAATTCTTTAAGATAATGTCTCAGTTCCCTTAAACATTGATTGGATTTTGTCTGTCAAATTAATGTTATTCTTTTCAATACTATTAATTCTTTCAAATAGCTGTTCATTACTAGTCTGTAAAGACTGAATCATTTCAAAAAATGTCTGTTATCAAACCATTTTCTTAACAATATAATATGAAAAAGAAAGCTAATTCCCACCATCAAATAAGTGAATGTATAAGGAAAATCACATAGGCCTTGCAAAATACCATCCATAGTGTAAGCATTATGGTTTTTAAATTTCTGAATGGTTATATTGTCAGTAGTTATTTAATCTTCAAATCTTACCTGTTGTAGGCAATTACAGTGAATTGGAGTAGGTATAATAATTTTTACAGGCCAGCAGGTGTTGTGGTTGCAGCTGCATGGTGGAGAACATGGAGGAGAAGCTCTCATCTGCTTCTCCAGGACGGTTTGCTCTTGTTCTGTGCTATTGCCTACTAATAAATAAGCTCTGTATAACAAATTAAGAGCAGTTATTAAGGACAATCAAAGTGATTCCTGAAAGTTTGTGTCCAGAATAAGGAGAAAGCCCAAATCTTTCCATCATCATGAGTCGTGAACTATGTATTCCATGCTGGCAGAAGAAAAACCACAGGGATCACCAGCTGGAGAGGCAGAGGTGTGGGGGTCATGAGCCTTGAGCCAGAATGTACCTGGCTTGTGAACTGGGTGCACCACAGGGGTGCCTGGGCTGGTAAACCACGAGTGCAGTCCCAGTAAGCATGAACTCATTCCTACATTGGTTTGACAGATGACATGAATAAAAAAATCCCACATTAGCTCAGAATAGGGTACATTAAGATTTTCTTTATTAAAAGGTAACTCACAGATCACAGTAAGGAAATAGGAATAGAGTTCAACATCTGTGTGTGACTCTTTCCATGCCATTTCTTATTTGGATTCACAGTGTTCACAGCTGGGTGAGACAGACAATTGTTTTTCTCCCTGGTAGCATGCATAGCACATTCCAGCTATATGGAAGCCATCTAGTAGGAATGAAGTTTTCAGGTACATACTAGCTTATTTTATTCATGTTCTATGATGCAGATATGTGATATCTTCAGCAATAGGTGGTTAGTATCAAATTCTGGATAGCAACCAAGAGCATTTTTAATGTTCTATAATGTTCAACAGGGATTGTCTATGGGACTGCACTAGACAATAATGGTGGGTGTTCTGGGTTTTTTTTGTTTTTTTTTTTGGTCAAATTGGTGCAAACTGAGATACTCAGGAAGAGGTAACACCAGTTGAGGAATTTTTCCCCTCAGATTGTCATGTGAGCATATAACAAGATTGACCTTTTTATATCAATAAAGCAAGATCCAATACCAATGTAAATTATTCATACCTATATCATATTCCCCTTTAAATGTAAAAGAACATTTATAAACAATATTTGGGAATATGGGCATAGTTTTTTTTTCTCTCCAAACTGCTTCATGCTGTATGGGGGTGCGATTAATCAAGTCCTTCATGGTGTATCCTATGTACTAAGTTCATCTCAATCAGCAATTGAGTGAAGTAAGTTTTTGAGGATGTTCACGGCAACCTTTCAGGAGGTCCAGGAGACCATATTGGTGTAGAAGCAACCCACAGGTTCTCATCTCCTGTGAAAACAAAAAAAGAACCTGTTTTCCAAAGCACCATATCCTAAGATCCAAATTTTGAAGTCAAGACACCTTTATAATATACATGCTGGTTTAGCTTAGCAGTTTATACAATGAAATGTTTCTCTGTACTTAGTTCCTTCACAGTAAAAATTTAAAGAAAACACAGTAATATACATAATCTAGACTGTCTCTGAATTTTTCATCTTTATGTGGCTTGTTTTTACTTTATTACTTTACTCTGTCTCTTTAAAGGCTTTACCTATTTTTATAAAAAGCAGTAAATCTATTTTATGACTCTCTATACTCTTTTTCTTCTCTCTCCCAAACCTACATATATTTATCTAACACTGTGACCCATTTAGAGGTCTTCTATGTCTGAATCTGGTCTTTTGTGAATCTGTAATTCTTTACTGTCCAGGAACACTTTTGCTTTGTACTTTTAAAATGCTAAGAGCTTAAGAATCTAAGCTGAGACATTCCTAGGTCAAATATAAGCACTGTGGGCTTGCCCTACCCAGTCCAGAATGGAGGAGTCACTAGTGCCTCTTAGAGCCAAGCACACAGCCCCACTTCCAGGCACAAAGCTGGTCCATGTCACCATCAAGCCAGTTGCAACAATCTGCTCACAAATCCCATCTAAATGCTCTGTGTCCTGCAATAGATAGAGGTCATGCTTGCAGCATAGCCCAGACAATTGGCATTTTAAACTACCAATTTTTTTCCTGCTGAGGCTGCTGAGCCAGGAAAATATATCTGCAGCACACTACCAGCAAATAGCAAAAAGCTGTATTAAACTCTCTATCTATCTATACATACATATATATATATATATTTGTGTGTGTGTGTGTTTGTGTGTGTGTGTGTACTGTCTAGAATTCCTTTTTCAAGCCCTCTCAGGTTTCACGTGGAGTTAGTTGGCCACATTGGGCCACCAATTATTGTAAAAAGAGAGAGGCCCTTTTTTGTCCCAGCCACCTACCTAGTTTACATCCGAAATAATCACACAGAAACTGTATTCATTAAAACATGGCTTGGCCATTAGCTCAAACTTCTTATTGGCTAACTCTTACATATTAGTTTAACCCATCTCCATTAATCTGTGTATTGCCACAAGGCTGTTTCTTATCAGAGATTCTAACTGGCATTCATCTTAGGCAGAGATTCCATGGCTTTTCTGACTCTGCCCTTTTTCCAGAATTCAGTTCTGTTTTCTTCACCTACCTAAGGTCTGCAATATCAACTAGGCCAAGGCAGTTTCTTTATTTATTAACCAATGTTAACCCATGAAAGCAACACACAAACAGAAGGAACTCCTACACCAGATCCTTCCTTTAATAATATAATTGCCATAATCATCAGCACACAATAATTGTACATGGCAGTGGGTTTGCTGTAAAATTTTAGTATATGCATTTGCAGTGATTTCCTCATAGTCATCCTGACTCCCCTTCTGTGGTCCTCTCCATTTCCCTGTTCCCTCTCTAACTCATCTTACTCATTTGATTAACTTCTATTCTCAGATCATCTTTACTTTCTTTTTTCCTTATTTTTATTAGTTTTCACATATGAGAACACATATGTGTCACTTGTCTATGTTTGCTTTATTTTGCTTTACATGATGTCCTTCAATACCACCTTTCTCCAGCAGAGGGCGCCAGTTCATTTTTTCCTTGTGGCTGAATACTACCTCAGGTACAGTAATCTCTGCATTCGTCAGTTGACAGGTGGTACCTAGGCTGCTACTGCATCTTGGCAATAGTGAATGGTACTGTCATGAACCTGCATATGAAGGTGTCTCTCTTATATTATGATCTCAGTTCTCCTGAATAAATGTTCATTGGATCATTAATCTTTCTTTTTCTTTTTTCTTCATTTTTCTTTCCTTTCCTTTTTTCCTTTTTTCTTCTCTCTCTTGCTCTTGTTCTTTTTCTTTTTCTTTCTTTGTACAGTTCAGAAAATCCACAATGATATTCTTGGTGGCTAGTTGAGTTCATATTTCCACCATCACTGTGTATTGGTAGGATTACAATAAGGGGATTTCTGATTCTCAGTGTCTGCATTTTCAGTGATAATGAATTTGGGCAAAACGGGGAAGTGCTTCCTACATCAGAATTAGCTTTAGACAAAGTGTTTGTAAGAGGCGGAGCCTGTTGAAAGAACTAAGTCACTGTGAAGTTGAAGTCTGTGTTCTGGGGAGATAAAAGGCCACCAGAGTACTACACAAGCTTCTAGGAAGAATGGACAAGATCCTGAAAGCGTCATTATTAGTCTTAACCCTTCACCTAGCATGTAAGTCATGGAAGAGAATATCCAGGATATAAGATTAATTTGGAGGCATGAAATAACTGGGGAACCAGACAAAATCATGAATGATGAAACCATAATCAGGTAGGACATACAAGGAAACCTAATGACAACTGTTATTTCTCTACACAGGGGTGAGTGGCCAGCAGGAGAGATCTGACCAGCAGCAGGTCAGACAAAGCCCACAATCTCTGTCAGTCTTGGAAGGAGGAACTTCAGTTCTAAACTGCACTTATGAGAACAGCGCGTTTAACTACTTCCCATGGTACCGGCAGTTCCCTGGTGAAGGCCCTGCATTACTGATGGACATACGTTCAGTGTCGAACAAAAAGGAAGATGGACGATTCACAGTCTTCTTCAGGAAAAGTGATAAACAGCTCTCCTTGCACATCAGAGATTCTCAGCCTGGAGACTCAGCCACCTACTTCTGTGCAGCAAGTGCACAGTGCTCTCCAGGCACCTGCAGCCACACCCAAACCTGCAGCTGTGCTCCAGCATAGCCCTGCTGTGGGGTTTGAATTGGGCAAAGGTGCAGAGGAGTTTTCCGTTGCAGGAAGTGCCTGGTTACTCAGTGAACTTAAGGATTAGACTCATTCATGCCAGAGATAGAACAAGTTGAAATCATAGCTTGCTTTTCTCCAGTCTCCCTTTGCTACCCACGCACCACTGAAGTTTTACATTTATTTACTTAACTAGTTTAGGTGAATACAAATAGCTCTCTGTGTGCTTGGTTTTTAGTTTAGTTTGTCATTTGTTTTTTTGTTTTGTTTTGTTTGTTTGTTTTTGAGATTGGGTTTCACTGTAGCTTTGGAGCCTGTCCTGGACATGTACTTGGTTTTTACCAAATGGAATTTATAAAGTCGCCATCTCCCTATACTCCTGTCAACAGTGTTGTTAATGTGTGGTTATTATACCCCAAGACATTCATTGTGACTTTTGTGTTGGAAATCATATAGAATAGTTTTTTGCCTTACTTTTCTCTGATGACAAGAGAAGCAGTGATTTACATGACCATTGTCCACTTCTAATTCCTCTTATTTTGTCACTTACATACCCAATTACCTCAAGAAATTCAAGTGTGTTAACTTAAAGATACAAGACTGTAAGTGTGTCTACAATAGACAAATGATATCATTGGGGGAAGAATGGAATTTACTCATATAGTGAAAATGCATAACTTCAACTAAAGAAATAATTTCACATGTGTATTTTGTAAATGAGAAAATATAGTTTTGAATGTAATAAAACTTCATAAAAGCAGCTGAAGTACATGAAATAGAAAAAGGACCATCTTGTTGAATACTTATTGTGTTTACTCACTTAATTCTGCAAAATACTAAGATTTCCACTGAAAAAAACTTTAGTTTATAAATTTAAATGTTTCATGCCATGTAATTGGTGGTTGTGTTAACTGTAACTACCTAGGAAATCAAGGCAGGCACAATGCTTGAGTCTAGGATTGAGAGTCTTGCTTAAGCAACTCTCTTTTAGAAAACCAAAACCAAAACAAAAAAAGAAAACCAAAAATAATAGAATCAATGTGAAAGATATTAAATTAAACATGCAAATTCTGCAAGCTCTCCTTATCCACAGTGAATAGTTTTCAGTATGTAAAAAGAAAATTAAAAAGGAAATATGTTAGTTGGTTTTTAGCAGTAGGCAATATATCTCACAATATCAGTAGGTGAACTCCCCATGTCCTCAAAAGTATTATGTTCTTGTCAAGTTTAAACTTGAGGTAGAAATTGGGAGCAGTATTTATATCAGATTGGAATAGTCTTTACTGAATACAGACACCTAAGTTATACATCAGCAGGAGAGAAAAGGCATCCTTGAGGATGCAGAAGAGAGAACTGGAAAATTCTGGGTACCTCAAGATAGAACTCTCAGCTTCCTAGGGATTGAGTGGTTGGAAAGTATTTAAAGAGACTTGAGAGACAGTGGAGACAGGTTAATTTTTTTCAATTTTTTTTATTAAAAATTTCTGCCTCCTTCCACCTCCCATACCCCTTCCCCTCCCCCTCCCCCTCCCTTTTCAGTCCAAAGAGCAGTCAGGGTTCCCTGCCCTGTGGGAAGTCCAAGGTCCTCTCTCCTCCATCCAGGTCTAGGAAGGTGAGCATCCAAACAGACTAGGCCCCCATAAAGCCAGTACATGCAGTAGGATCAAAACCCAGTGCCATTGTCCTTGGCTTCTCAGTCAGCCCTCAATGTCCGCCACGTTCAGAGAGTCTGGTTTGATCCCATGCTTTTTCAGACCCAGTCCAGCTGGCCTTGGTGAGCTCCCATTGGATCAGCCCCAACGTCTGAGTGGGTGGGTGCACCCCTCGTGGTCCTGATTTCCTTGCTCATGTTCTCCCTCCTACTGCTCCTCATAATTATCACCACTTGGGAATCTTCATGTGACACTTAAGGCTGATCTCTGAGTTATAAGCCAATCTTGACTATAGAGTGAGTGCCAGGGTAGTCAAGCTTAGGCAGTGAAGGAGACAATTGATATCAGAAAGTTGTGAAGCTGTAGTTCAACAAAGAGGCTATGTTCCAGCCCCAGTAAGCAGCAGAACTTGACAACTTCAGCCATGTGCTCTGACTTTAGAGTCAAGAATGAACACTTGAAATCTCTCTCTGGAACTAGGGAAAGCCATTGAGCCCAGACATGCCACAGGGGTGTCCTTGAAAGAGAATCCAGATAGGCAGGTGTGTGAAACGATGAAGTTTAAACCTGATTGCCTTAGAGAACCCAAGTTGTTAGAAATCCAAGAGTCTTTGGATATCTACTAAGGAAAGGAGCTAACAGGTAGCAGAATGAGCCCAAGGGCAAGAAGTGTGCTGCAGTCAAGAAAGCTGGAAGGATGTAGAGATCTGAAGAGAATTTTGACATCAGACACAGAAATGCAGAGTTTGCAGTTTGCCCAGCATGTTTTCAGTCTTGCTTTGTTCCAGAATTTCCTTACTATGCTCTCTTTCCTCCCTTTTTAATGGTAATATATATTCTTTGGTGTATTATGTTGGAAATGTGTAATCTGTTTCTAAATTTTGATTTTATAGCAAATTACAGTTAAGGGATTGCCTTGAGTCAGAAGAGACTCTGAACTTTGGACTTTTAAACATGTTGAGACTGTGATATATAATCAGGGTTTTTGAAGATGAGCATGTTTGCATTATGACATGTCTACAAGCCTGTGGGGACCAGGAAGAAGAATGTGGTGATTTGAAAAGCAATGCTCCCACAGGCTCATACATCTAATTTTTTAGCCACATGAAAGTGATAATATTTTAAAGGATTATAAGAATTAGGATGTCTAACCTTATTGGTGGAAGTTTGCCACTGCGGGGGCAGTGGGTTGCAGTTTCAGGCAGTGGGTTACAATTTCAAAATCCTATGTCAAGCCAGTAGAGTGAGTAGCCTTCTCTTTCTGCCTTCACATAATGATATCGGTCTCAGCTACTGCCCTATTACCTGCCTGCATGTCACCAAGTTCCCCATCATGACAATTTGTTGACTTTCACTGATGTATATGGGTCTATCTGATAGACAAGTGATCTAAGGACCTGAAAGAATGCGGCCAGCAACAGTCTAATGCTGTAGACAAACTTCAGTTTCAGTGACTTTTATTCATGAATATAACAAAGACAGCAATGATACAAAAATAACAAAAAAACCCCCACATAATTGGAAAAACATAAATAAACCCTAGTTTATTTATAATAAATGTTAGCAGAGATTCCCTTTCCTAGAACTTTTTCAGAATAGGACAATTTAAACATATTGCCTGGGATTTACTAAATATTATATCTGGGAAATTACAAAAGTGAAGTAGAAGGCCATATTGAGATACAGAGTACACTGACCACACTGGGTTCTATACCTATGATCTGACAGCCAGCAAGAATAAACATGTCATATAATTTGAATGTAAATATTTAGCATAGGAGACATGAAATCACTTCCAAGATCAATCAAGGGAGCACAGTACACTTGAAGTAAAAGTCCCTCTGTCTTGTTTCCTGGAGTTTTTTTTTTATATAGTTATCCAAGATATTGTTTACCATGCATCGTTCTTTTGACCATTATAGTAGTTTGGAAGACAATGCCCCCCCAAAGTTAGTGGCACTATTGGGTAGTGTCTTTTTGTTGAAGCAGGTTTGGCCTTGTTTTGGAAGAAGTGTGTCACTGTGTGGGTGGCTTTGAAGTCTCTGTCACTCAAGATACTCCCAGTGTCATGGATCATTTTCCTCTTGCCTTCTGATCAAGATGCAGCCAGCACCTTGTCTACCTATAGGTCATGATGTTCCCCATGATGATAATGGACTGAACCTTTAAAACTGCAAGTGAGCCACTCCAATTAAAGGTTTCCTTTTAAGAGTTGCCGTGGTCCTGGTGCCTCTTCACAGCAGCGTAAACCCAAACCTAGACAGTGATGTTCCAACAATAATGGACTAAACCTCTGAAATTGTAAGCAATCCCCTAATTAACTGTGTTTCTTTTTCTTTTTTGTAATAGTGGAGTTGTTCATGGTATATCGTCACAGAAATAGAATGGCATCAGGGATACAAAACCCCATTACACCTACTCCGCATTTACATGAATAAATAATCTCTTTGACATGATTCCTTAAATATTAAGCCTTATTTTAAAAAGATTTTGTTTTTGTTTACTTTTGGGTGAGTACACGCCCATGTAAGTATACACAAACTTGTACACACACCCGTGTGCATGTGAAGGCTAGAAGATGGCATCCAATCACTCAAAACCTGAAGTTGCAGACTTTATGGGGCACTCAGCTTAAGTGGGTTCTGAACATCCATCTTTATGATTAGCAGCAAGTACTTTTCACTGCTTTTTACTGTTCACCAACTTGGACCTTTATCTTCACTAGGAATTATTGTTTGTCAATTACATCACAAGGAAAGTTGTGCAGCATGGAGAGCATCTAGCTGCTCTGTGGAGAACTAGAGCAGGGCACAGCCCTGCCATCCTGAGCTCCTTGGGCTACTGTGGCTCCCATGGTCTCTTGCTTAGGCACAGAGACTGTAGTCTAGGGCATGTGCTGCCTTGACACAGCAGTGAGATGGGCAGAGGTGTATATCTCAGATACCAGAAACTTGTCCTTGATGTACATGTTGACTGGTTATTTAAACTCATAGTAAGACCTGGTTTCGGGGGCCTCTGAACTCTAGCCTCAACAGCCCTTCAGGGTTCAGAACAGAATGCTTACATCTAGCAAAAACTGACTAAAATTGTCTGAGGGTGATCAAATCAACTCAAATATGTTTCTTATTTATGTTTTCTCTTTGTACTTCAAAAAATTTCCATTCCCCACAAGCCTTTCAGTTTATATACACATAAAGACACAATTGCCAATTCCATATGCAATAACAATGATACCAAACAAGTATTACACAGAGCCACAAAAATCAGTAAGTCTGAAAAAGCAGGCACCTAATACTTTACTACCCTGTCTGAGAGGGCGTGGCTATGAAGCTCCCCAGCAGATACTGG